AAGTATTTCCTTTGTCTGGATCCTGAGCTTGTTTGTAATTAAGAAGGACAGCTTCAGGGTCAGATGTTCTTGTCGTTGTTGATGGCCCGAGGGTGGGAGCACTGCTCCTAGATCAGTGCTTACAGACAGGGGAAGTGTGTGATATCTGCACATCCATGAAAAACAATCAGAGGAAACCACTCTCAGCTTTTGGAGTGCCTGTTCTTACAGCGACTCCAAGAGCAGATTCCCACAGACTAACTACAGCCTCTTTGAAGATCCGCTTTCGAAAAAACACCCCGATCACATGATCTTGTCTCTTCGCGCAGTGCTTATGCTATAAATGTGATTATATTTAAAAGAAAGCAAAATGTATTGAAGTTCATTTGAAACAGAATGAAGCCTATAAATCCCACAGGGTTCCGACACCTTTTGACCGTATCAATTGAAATAAAAGAAACATTAAGTGAAATAAAATAAAAGTATTTTATTTCAGCAAGTTCACAAGGCATTGTCATTCTCATTTTCAATTAGTTTAACTTGATGTGCTAAAATAAACTGAAATAAAATATATAACAACTATTTAGCTATGTTTTTAAATCAAATCAAATAAAAACGACAAAAACACACAACAAAATAACTAAAATTTTAACTACACTCAAATCGAAATATTAATAAAAACTATGATAGAATCTCAATAACACTGCTTTTGCCCAATGATTTTCCATCATTGTCCACTCTGATTTTTAGAAATGAAATCTAAAAGGTTAGGTTAGGAAGGTCAGTGCTAAGCATAACTAGAAATATCTATATTAATATTGAATGTTCACAATATACTAGAAATGATTTTGCAAGCTACTCTAGCTACATATAATATTGAGAAAGACCATGATATGACCATAGCGATGATTCAAAAACATTTTTATTTAGTGATTCATTCTTAAAGCGTGCATCATTACACCAGTTTTCACTTTAAATAGTGTTCACAATTTAAATTTATGTTACAAAAATGGCATTAGAGTTAGAAAAGACAGATTAATTTCTGTGAATCCGTTCAAACTGTCCATGTAGCCTAATCGAATTGCTTCAAAACTCTGATACAATCATCACTCAGAAAAGTGTTCATAGGAGTTTCTGTGTGGCATTTTTTTTTACTGTATTGTAGTTGGTAAATAAACATTATTAAATTTTCATTTTGTAAAAAATAATAAAAAAAACTATGTGGAAAACGATATTTCCAGTTTCCTAAGTAATCTTAGTTTTAGTTCTGATTAATTTCGAATCGATGTCTGTTGGTGTTTCCTCTGAACAAAATCAACATATAGTTCATCCCAGCCTCCAGCATGGTTTTGACAGGAAATGTCCCGAGATCGTTATAGCTCAAAGACTCCAAGTCCTTTTTGTGTCAATGCTCTTACAGAAAGTTAAAGTACATCAGGGAGCTTCGCTGAGATTCCCGAGTAAATACGCCACGGGGTTGACGACGTACCCGTGCTTCTTCCTGACAGAGGAGTTACGCAAGAAACAGCAGTTGACCCGGAGAGTCACAGTCGATTTCACCCGACACAAAAGCACTTCCACGCAAGTAATTGCCTCAGAGAAACGGCTTATGTAAGACCAGTCATCTGTGCACGGTTGAAAAACAGCCCTGCTATCTTCACAGGTTTCGTTCGGACTTCCCCTCGGGGCAGTACAGGAAAGCAACGGGCTTTTGAAAGGAAAACCACGGGAGGAGTCATGTGCTGGTCGTGAAAACATCGGAACACAGACCAGGTTTTCTCAATTATTTTCATTCAATCACTCCTGTTGTAGCACAATAGAGAATCACAGCTCTTGTATATTAACAAAGGCCAAATGATGGACTTGCAACATCAGCAGGTTTTAAAGGGTTGTTCTTTAACGGAGGATACACTCCTGTGGAGTCCCATGTGGTGTAGCTATTTCTTGCCTTCTGCCACTTGAGAAAAATGATTTAGTGATTTAGTATATGACAGTATTGGGACTCAATGTGTCGTAGGATAGCATGCCTGTATCGTTTTAAAAGACGACATTTGCTATCGCTTATCAAATACAATTAAGCGCACTTCTTTTTCTCAAGGGTGTACAACCTTCAAACTTCCCTTCAAACTGGTTTAGCTTTGAAAAGGGAAGTTTGAAGGTCGCACACCCTTGAGAAAAAAGAAGTGCGCTTAATTGTATTTGATAAGAGATAGCAAATGTCTTCTGAAAGGTTGAGAACAAGACTGGATTTGAGTAACAGTCGCTAGATTTCAATGGGAATCTACGGGATATTTAGATTATCAGCTACGAAGAAGTTTGAAGTTTGCCAACATAACTAGATTGGAGGTTTGTATTGTTTAAACAACCTGATCACTCTGTAGCTCTATATTCTCTCTAATACACGATTAATCAATAAAAGATTGCGATCTCGATTCAAACATCAACGCCATCTCATTCCTAAATGAATGTGTCTATTAAAACTTTGGCAAAATCACACTGAAACATTCAGATCTGTGTTGGCGCTGCCGCTGAGTCGTCATGTACAGCTATGAAACAGATTTTCAACCAATAGTATCATTATTTCGGTGTTACAAATATTCAAATGACCACAGAAGCACTGGGATACAAGTTTATAGTTCGGATATAAACACTGATGTCTACGATAGCGATCAAAATAGAGCAAATCACCTTTTGAAAGTAACTTTGTGCTTCAAATAAAGATTGTATCAATTACATCGTTAAGCCAGTGACTGTTAAAATATGTATTTGTCATTGAATCATTCGTTCAAGCGATTCGTTCAGAAACGCTGATTCATCCAGTGATGAAACAAGTGAAGTCTTTACGAGTGAGTCGTTGAATCATTCATTCAACCCTATTTTTAGTCATTCAAATGAATTACATTAAATACAGCAATTAACATTTCACCGAGGGCTTACAGAACAGATCCGCACACTCAGACCATCATGCCAAAATGGCATGCTGGGTAATTTGGTTATGCAGATGACATGAGAATGAATAGGGGGTCTAAGTGGTAAACAGGACTGTCACCATGGGGAGCCCAGCTGTTCTGGAGTCTGGCCTTTTTCCTCCTTGAGCAATGTGCAAATCATTACCACGGCAGCGGCACACACACACACACACACACACACACACAAAAGACACCGCGGTTACAACCGTCTGAACAGAAAATAGAGCGACGCGTGAGAAAACTACAACAAGATCTTTCTCAGACAGCTCGACAAAATCCTCTAGCTTGCGAACACACAGATGATCTGTTCATCATATGATCAGCTTTAAACGGTGCTAATAATGTTCCTCCTGGAACTGTGTAATTGGTTGTGGTGTGTGAAACTGTGTATTAAAAGTGTTTACTCAAGGACGGAGGCTGAATGGAGTTGTTTGTCTTCGGTGAGAAGTAACTCTTCCTGCGGCGGAGGTCGTCCTCAACCACCCACAGTCAACGAGTGAAGAAGCACTATAGGTGTGCGCCCTGCCAAGTGCACTACAGTGTGTAGGTGTGTGTTTCACAGTTGTCATAGCGCTGTTATAATTGCTTGAGGAATACAAAGCCATTTTTCAACTGCACATATGGACAAAAAAAACCCAAACTGAATTGTATGGTGGATGTAATTAGACTTCTCCAAGAATAAAGTATGCCGAATTTAGATTCAAGGGTTAGGTTTAGGGTTCAACTGTGACAGTACCATGGTAAAGTGATTACATTAATATACAATTACCATATTCATCATCCACCCATGCTTTTGCATGGTGCTCCAAGGTACTAGTTCAAAGACTATCATGGGATTACCATGGATCATGTACAAAAGACCATATCATAGTACTTTGCTGGTGTATTTTACAAGACATTGCATGAATGTAGTAGTCTAGTACCATTAAATCATTGTAGTTTAATATATCACAGATGTGATCAGATGTTCAGATTAGTGTTCGACCAATACTTTTTTTCAATGGTTGATTCCAATTATTACATAACTTCCCTTGTGGAAAAAGAAGTACACTTTAGCATACTTTTAAAAAGAGCACTTACTAAGAATACACTTAAGTGTGAACTGAATGTAATGTTTCCAGACACTTAATTGCAATAAATGAGTTTAAATGTATATAATGAAATTAGTTCAACTTAACAGGTTTGGCCCACTTAACTCTTTATATAACTTCATAATTCGATTGTCTTCGAAATATGGTTAATTACCATTTCATGTACTGACAGGCATTTCTATGATAAACTAAAATATACTTTAATGTAATTTCCATTAAATATATTTGTAATTACACATTTGTAACAATGAAGTTTAGTACATAAAAAAAATTCACTTTAAATGTAATATTGAATAACACATGAGTTCACATTATAATCAAGTGCTTTACATGTGCTTTAGTATGTAGTGAACACACCAAAATAAGTGCACTTCTTTAAAGCATGACAAAAGATTAATGTAACATAATGATTTAAAACCTTTCATTTGGCATTATTACACTTTATAAAAGTCTACTTAAAATAGTCATGAAAGTGTCTCTCTTTAAGTGCTCATAAGTGGACTTTAATTTCAGTAATATTTTCTGCTTTAACATATCTAGTTTTTTTTTTTTTTTAAATATACTTTTATGATTTTAAGTGAACTTCAAATCTTCAAATTATACAATTAAGCCCAATACAATTAGGCACACTTCTTTTTTTCACAAGGGTTTAGATCCTTTATGTAGGCCTACATTATTTACCATGGTAAATGACTACTTAATCATACATATGATGCATTCAAGCACATAGAAGAATATCATGGAACTACACTGTACAAAAAACATACTAGTACCATATATGGTGCATTTCTGTTAGTAGTCATTTCATGAAAACTTATAAACAGAGTGCACTTTATCCTCGCAAAAAGTGTTATTATGGCAAATATGGTAATATTGCAAGAGTAGGCTACTGAAGGATTACTATATTTACTTCTAAGAATACCAAGGTACTTTTTAATCATCTTAGCGCGGGGTCTCTCACCGTATCCGAGCTCACGGATGTTCTGAGTTTCTCCACCGCGGGAATGTAAACGGGGATGATCTCTCCGTTCCTCTCCGGCACCGGGGGCGGCGGCGTGTCGTCCCGCATCATCTCGTCGCTGATCTCGGGCTCATCGTCACCCTCGGGCACCGGAATCCCCTCCGTGACGAACTCCCTCACACACTTCAGCTCGTGTTTCCTCAGCAGCAGGTCGGTGTCCACGTCCACCACTATGAGCTCCAGGTTGCCGGCGCTCGCGCGTATCCTCGCCACGACCTGCTGATGGCTGTCGCTCTCCACGCGCTCTCCGTTGACGAACACCAGCCGGTCGCCCGCGCGCAGCCCGGCCAGCTCGGCGGGGGAGTCGGGCTCCACCAGGCGGATGAACTGCCCGCTTTTGCCCTTCTCTCCGTGCAGATGGAAGCCGTATCCGTTCTCGCCCTTGTCCAGGACGCACAGTCGCGGGCGCTGAGTCTGGCTGGGCATCACGCGAGTTCACCTGTGGATTTAAAATCTGACAGCCTGAATAAATAAGAAATGAAGAATAACTGAGGTGTCCTGCGCTCAGGTGCTCACGGATGAAGCATGTTAACCCGCTCAGTCTCAGTAAATGAAGGGATTTGTTGTTGATAAAGTGTGACGAGAAAGTTCGAGTGTTCGAGAGTTTGATAAGCAGCACATCAATATACAAACCCAGCCCATGGAGGAGTGACTCTCTCTCTCTCTCTCTCTCTCTGGAACCTCCTCCTCTTCTGCTCAGGACAGGGTGAACTGAACTGGGGTCATCTCATTCTCTCTGGGACTTTTTTTCGCACTTTCCACTTCTGTTGTTTACTGTGATGTCATCCGCACACTCAGTTTAAATTTTTTTTTTTTTTTTTTTTACAGAAATTAAACTGAAATCAGATATTTTAAAAACCTCTCCCTGATAGCACACGTACACCACAGAGACGTCTATTTGATGTGTGTGTGTTTTTAGAGATGTATTTTTTAGAGTGTTTGCTGCAATACGTCTATAGGACGCTTCCTGTCAGATGTCAAATAGACGTTTAGAAGATGTCTTTAAGATGTAATGATTTAGAATGTATGTTAAACTGACATCTTAAAGATGTCTATCAGATGTTAGTAAACAGCAGATGTTTTCCAGATGAAGTGATCTTTAACAAACATCTTGCAGACGTACGTGTGCTATCTCTTCGCGTGTCGGTCAAAAATGATTTTTTTTTTTAATGAAATGAAAAGCCTACTATATTTTTATATTTTAGTTAATGGTACTATGATTCTATGGTACTAAATTATATTTACGCTGTAGGCCTATTTGTGATCCATTTAGTCACTTTTTGAGCATATCAAAATTATATTTCAAACTTAAACTGTCGTAAATCTTGAATGCTAGAGCACAGACACTTGGCAGATTATTGCTGATGTGAAAAAAGATTTAAAAAGTTAAATCTTAACCAAAGTTAGAAGAAACAAAGTTACAGAATTTTACGTTAATTGTTATGAAAAATATGAAATATATATTTTCAAAAACATGTTTTACTCTAAAACGGTGAGAAAATCAAAGCCATAAATTTAAAAGTTGTTCAAAATTTGAGGTTGATATCTCAAAAAATTTGCTTTCAGTCAAGATTTTGTCTTCGCTGCGGTACCACACGTCTCCACTAGATGAAATGTGTCTCCCATTCATTTCCAATCCCGTAATTTTTGACCGCAAAGAGCGTGACTATTTTTTTCAGGACCATTTAAGCTGTTCGAATCATGAACCTTTTTTTTTTATATATTTTTTTATTCACATAGCAAGTGGCAAAACTTTAACAAGTTTTACCATTCAGATGAAAAAACAAAACAAAAAACAAAACAATTGTAAAAAAAGTGTCGGTCAAGCATAACCGAGGCGAGGAGCACCAGAGGGTTTTTAATACAGTATCGAAATGTGCACACAGCCTTGCCCATATGAAGGAGTAAATGTAGGCTACACATTATAACGTCCCAATGATCCGTATTATCTGAATTCCTCCAATAGTCTGCTACTGTATATGGGAAACTGGGGCTAGTTGTCACATATGGTTATAATTCACTGGAGTGAAAAGTGTGACAGTCTCCTTTATCTAGTACAATCCTAAAATATTAATAAAAGAGCAATCATTTGAAGTGTTGTAATCGTGTAAAAATACAAATCTAAATCATCATCTTCTAAAGAACAATAAAAAAAATCAGGATTACGGTTAATTTGAGATGCATCATAAACTGTAATCTCACAAAACCTGTTATATGTTTTACAGTAACTGTTTAATTAGCATGCTTATACTTTTTTAAGATCATTTGTATTTCGACATTCATGACAATTCCTCCCCTTTTCTCATATCATAATGCACAATACACTGCATTATGCAATGCACAAATAATTATAAATATTAAATTCACATTAGGCTGTATTGGTTGTACTGCCTTCACGTTTTTGCTGACTTATATTTTTAAAAATACAGTATTTTCTTAAATTAGTATATGCTAAAGGGATAGTTCACCCTAAAATGAGAATTAAGTCATCATACTCACCTGGTGTTGTTGTAATGCTCTATGCCCTTCTTTCTTTTATGGAACACAAAAGGAGAATTGTTGAAAAATGAATAGCGACCAGCATCAAGCTTTTTAAAAAGTAGCCCAGTGTTCTGCCCAGTTTAACAAAAACACGACATGAAATATCTACAATCAATGTAGCCTAACTTCTTTTCTGAGGTAGGCCTGTGTTCGTCGTAACAATTGCATTCACATCTGTCAACTGGCACAACATACATTTAATGAATTATTATATGAATACATTTCTCAGACACAAACATCACCAAATACCTAGGCTACAGGCCAATTTGCAGTTTACTGTACACAACCTCTTTTCAAAATGTTTAAACTTAAGTTCAAAAACTCAACACAAATTCATCTAAACACTGAAAAGCTAAAATCTGAATCTAAACACTGGAAATATTATCAAAATAATTAGATGAAGCTGCACACCTACACAAGTGTTAGGCTTTCAATTTCATTGCTATCTATTCTCAAGGGGAAATTTAGGAATAATTTTGTACTGGAATACATGGACTATGTAACATAACATAGCCTACACTAAACAAAAAGGTTGCTGCCTTAAATTAAGTACAAATAACTTGGATGTTTAAGTCATATCAACTTAAATTAGGCTACATTTAACATTTAAAAAAATGAGTTGAATCTTGTTTAACTTTAACTAAAAAAGTTGAAATGGCTTATTTTGATGAGTAATGCAATGCATGTAATTAAAGCAATGTCAAAACATAGCCTATATTGTCATAACTTATTGATCGTATAATGTTTTACACTTCAATGAATAATAAACATCAGAGGGTGTCATTCTTGTTTTTGTTTTATGAGTTTGTTTGAAGTGTTTGTTGGTTAAAAAACTTTGCTATAATGGAAGAATTTGAGACATGGCTACGAAGTGCATTTTGAATGTGAAATTAACTGTTGTGTCGAGCTGCAATTTGAGAACTGTGTGAAGAGTTTTGAAAAAGTGACTAGCCTATTGAAAAATGCTTAGCGATTGTAAAAACAAAACAAAAAAACACGATCGACGATCTTCCAAATGGTCGTCTTAAATTGCATGTCAGATTTAGTGTTAGAAAGTCAGCCTTTTTTACTGAGACTGAGATCCGTTTGCAGAAGGTGAATATGCATTTAGCTTAAAACAGAAACAAACGGAGTCACAAGTCCCAGATATTTAGCAAACAGGTGCAGTGCGGTCACGTGACTCAAAATAACCAATAGCAGTCCACAGAGCAATGTCTCGCCAAGCTCAAATAACGTTTACATTTATTTATTTGGCAGATGATTTTATGCAAAACAACTTACATAGTACAACACAAGCATTTGCTCATTCAAATAAGACTTGTTCATCTTCTCTGAGAACCATCGGTCAACCTGACGTTCACCTAATTCACTTTATTTAAAGGTACAGGACACATAAACATGAAAGATAAGGCAACAATTAAACCGATGAGCTCATTATTTATTCGTAATTCTCGGTGTGTAACACCGCCCCCCTGTGGCTTTAAATACTAACAAATGAATCGATGGAAAACACCCAAACAAAACACCCAAACAAAGCACTGAAAACAAAGCCCTCTCTTACAAAACACATGTATGTGGTTACATTGAACTTTCTCATGGCACTTTGTGACCACTGTGAAAAAAATTATATTTTACAATAGGCTACAGCCCATATTCACATCAATCCCTATGCATGTCAGACAATCATACTAGTGAGTGCGACATGTGAAATTAAAACCCATATTACATCATGATCAAGGCCTGACTCAGTCAAGCTGTGCTATGATTGTTTTCAAGTCAATATATACACTGATTGTAAACATAACACTTAACAGAAGCTGATATTTTGACTCTGCAAGACACTCAAATATACAGGATTTTATAAACACTGGACACAAGCTCACTGCCCGGCACATTCGCGTGGCGTATAATGTAATGTAACACCAATATATTTTATTCTGTGTGTAGACAGAGGCTATAACCGTCAGAGAAACGCAGAAAAATCATGTTACACAGACAGACGTACCTGGAAACTGTACACACCTGGATTAATGCAGTTTATAAAGCAGAAACCACCTCCAGAGGCTTATTACTCTGATGTACCTCAGCAGTATTTGGCTGTATATTCCTGACTAGAAAGCGAACAAGGGTCTGGGGGATCATCGGACACATCAAAACAACGTTCACACACACATCTTCGTATAGAAATATCTTGGACGTGGAGGAGGTCCGTCACACGAGGCAACAGCTGGACTTCTGCTTCTGCGAGTCGATGTAATCGTGGATCTTGAACTTGGGCTCGTGGGGCTGCTGGAGATTTCTGTGCTTCAGTTCTCTGGGTGGAGATTACAGAGGGACATTTTAAATGCTGTGTGGAAAACTTTAAGTGTTGGTTTGACAAAGCCTTAAAAGACACCTTATGCAGTTTGAAGGCCCATGTGAAAAAGATGAATAACAACACATGACATATTACACCGTGCATGCCAATCATTTTTTTAACAAAAAAACTAATGCGTTGGCCTTACTGTCCCCACAGGAATTAAGAGAGTAAGAATCAATCAGTTTCTGCTAATCAAATGTCTTTGATTGATCATCAGCAAGTGTGATCTCCTCTATAAAAGCAGAAGTTGTGTCAGTTTGCTGGTCTGGATCATTCAGGTGTGTGTGTGTTCACACAATAACGAGGAGGAAACACCTCAGCAATGATCTCAGAGAAGCAGTTGCTGCTGCCATCAATCTGAGAAGGGTTATACGGCCGTTTCCAAACCATCTGAAGGCCATTATTCTACAGTGAGGAAGATTATTCACAAGAAAACATTCAAGACAGTCGCTAATCTTCCCAGGAGTGGACGTCCCAGCAGACTCAGCCCGGGTCAGAGAAATCACAAAACACCCAAGAGCTTCATCTCAGACTCTACAGGCCTCGGTTAACATGTGAAGTGTTCAAGTTCATGACAGTACAATTAGAAAAAGACGGGACAAGTGTGGCATGTTTGGGAGGATTGCCAGGAGAAATAATCTTCTCTCTAAAAAGAAGCACAGCTTAGACACAAGTCATTGAGTCGACCATGAACTCCTCTGTAAACCATAGAGTTAAATGTGAGACTATCTGTCCGAAAGCTAAAGCTTGGCCGAAACTGGGTCGTGCGACGAGACAATGATCCCAGAACAGCAGCAAATCTACAACAGAAGGGCTGAAAAAGACCAGAATCAAAGTGTTGCAGTGACCCAGTCAGAGTCCAGACCTCGGAGGAGACCGTAAGAAAGCTGTGCAGAAACAGACGCCCACAAACCTCAACGAACCGAAGCAACGTTGTAAAGAAGAGCGGGACACAATTCCTCATCATCAATGTGAGAGACTGATACTCACACACACACAGAGAACGATTCCTTAATCTTATCGCTGCTAAAGGCGGCTCTACAAGCAGTTGAATCATAGGGTGTACTTAGTTTTTCACACATGGCTTCCCCATTTCGGCTTTATTTTTGTTAAATAAATATTGACACGGTGTAATGTGTCATGTGTCGTTGTTCATAAAAGGTGTCCTTTCTTTTTCACATGACTGTCCGTCACAATAGAGAGGAAAGACGAGCTCATCTTCAGTTTCATGCTAACTTTAATATTTGTTTATACAACTGTACATATGATCAATAGTAATAGTGACACTTGTTTGAAAGTTAAAATTCACTTAAAGTATATAGTGAATAAAGAGAGTCTCAGACCTTGCTATGGCTTGGAAAGCGAGTTCCACGTTGACACCGGTCTTGGCACTTGTCTCCATGAAAGGGACTCCATATTGCTTTAGTAAAGAAAAAGAAAGTGTTGAAGTTAAATCAAAATAACTGTTCACTGATCATTTGTGTGCGTGTTATACCTTCGCCAGCTTCTCCCCTTCCTCGTGTGTGATGACCCTCTCAGCAGCCATGTCTGACTGGAGGAACACAAACACACACCAAAAAGACATTTATTACCGATAACACACATCCTTGGCATCCTGTCAAACTAACCAATAAGAGTGCGAATAGAGGTCCAGTTTTTAATATGCTGTTAGGATTTTATTAAAGGAACATTCTGAGATAAACAAGTTAACCCTGTAAAGCCTGACATATGTAATAATAGTGATGGGTAATGGTGGCGTAGTGTACAGTCGGGCACAGTTTCTGATGCTTTACCTTCAGGCTTTGATTCCATCCAGTTATTAAGGATATTAAACATATTTGATATTTTGAGCCGATTTTGGAACACATATTAACGTCATTTGTCGTGCGTCTCCTAGAAACGAGGCGTGTGCTTCTGCGCGAGTTTGTTTTCGGAACGACATAAGTCTGTCGTATGTCATCCTCAGTCGTTTAGTTTATGATGACCAGTTTTTCTCTTAAACATTCACAAAGTTGGCAAGTAACACACTGAATTAAACGTCTAATTAATCCGTAATTGTTTTATTTACAACGTGAAAATCTTTTTATCGTGTAGTGTACTCCAGTCTTAAAGGCACAGTATGTAAGTTTCGCCACTAGAGGTCGCTTATTCAAAACAAAGGCGTGGCTTGATGACTCTGTGAATGAGTTTATTTTTTATGTTTATTTTATGATTATTGTTGCGATTAACGTTCGCCTCATTAGTCCCTGAACTTGACCTTTATTACAGTTACGTTCGATCATTTAAATTCACATTATTTTATATCGTTCTAATAAAAAAAGCCACAAATTACTACTCATACGGGTCACTTTAGACATGAGATTCAAACAATACAACTAGCCGTATTGAGCCATTGAGCCGTATAACAATGATTCGTTTTCTGTCGATAAAAGTATCCAGACAGTTGCTCACCTGTCTAATAAAACATGATATTTTGAAGCGTTGTTGGTGTTTCTACAAAAGTAAACCGGACGTTGAGGCTAGCGCGGATTTGACATCGAGAGGCGACGCAACCACGTGGGCCGTTACACTGGTTAAAATATCAGATTTCTCTGGATTTAAACGTTGTTGGAAACATTTGGGATAATGCAAGTACACAAGTCAACAAAATATATAACATTGTTCTAATGGTTTTTGGATATTTTAATCCAAAATTCTTATATATTGTGCCTTTATGTTTTCAATAAACGGATACTTGTTCACTTAAATATGGATGGAATCACTTATGTAACTTATTTTTGTTCAAAATGAATAGTTTAAATAATGTATGAGTACATCATAACATTCAAACCCTGTTTTTGTCTTGATTCACTAACTTATTAAGTGTTAATATGGTAACAATAAGATCGCATTTGTTAATACCAATGCATTAACTTGAAAGAACAATGAGCAATATGTTTAACCTCTTTTAATGTTAATATCAATACAATGTTTTACCTTATCAGACTAGCAATCTTTTGCACGGTCATTAATTTAAAAACATCAGCGCTTCCAATTATTCAAAATTACAGCATACGGCACTTATGTGCTTACATTAAGCCTTGTGGACAATGTACTTTGGCTGTTTACATTTATATATTCCCAGTCCCTTTTCATCATTTAGTCCATTACCAGTGATTTATAATATAAAATGAGGCTTTCTGGCTCAATCAGTCCATTAGGGGGCGCTATCTAATCCAGCGCAAAACCAGTTAGTGCAGTTACACCAGAACACACCCAAACCGCACATCAAACAATGAAAGAAAGATGACCAAAGGCGTGTGGTAAAAATGCTTAAAGGGATAGTTCACTTTGAAATTAATTTTTGGTATGTTTTAGCTTACCTCAAGGGCATCCAAGATGTAGGTGTCTTTGTTTCCACAGTAGTTTCAATTTTGATATTTTTAGGTCAAACCGTTCTTGTCTGTCAGTCATATAATGCAGGTCTATGGTCACCACCTCAAAGAGCATGCACAGAGAAGTCCAAATTAAACATGATTTAATGACTCGTAAATGTAAGTACACATTGATGGCCTGAGACACGAAACGAGCGGTTTGTGTGAGAAAACGAACAGTATTTATATCGTTTTACCTCTTGTAAACACAGCCACGTCCAAGTGATCTGAGGGCGTGGGCGCTTCGGTCTGCGCAAGAGCCGGAAGTGATCTCTCGCGCGTGTACGTCACTCATTGTTGACACAGAGATTTCGGAAGTGTTACCTTTCACTGTGAAGATCTAAACATATTTAGATATACAGGAAATCGCAATGGAAGACGAAAGGGCGCTTGGGCAGACCGAAGCGCCGGCGCCCTCAGATCACTTGGACGTGGCTGTGTTTACAAGAGGTAAAAACGATATAAATACTGTTCGTTTTCTCACACAAACCGCTCGTTTCGTGTCTTAGGCCATCAATGTGTACTTACATTTACGAGTCATTAAATCATGTTTAATTTGGACTTCTCTGTGCATGCTCTTTGAGGTGGTGACCATAGACCTGCATTATATGACTGACAGACAAGAACGGTTTGACCTAAAAATATCAAAATTGAAACTACTGCGGAAACAAAGACACCTACATCTTGGATGCCCTTGAGGTAAGCTAAAACATACCAAAAATTAATTTCAAAGTGAACTATCCCTTTAAGGCAAAAATTAATTACTCGCTAAAATGACAGTACAGCATAAAGGACGTTTAAAAAATAAAAAAAGGGGTGAAAAACAGATTTTTTGCTCTGTGTCTGCATATGCATTAAAACATTATTTGTACCTTTCAAGAGGGTCCGCTTATCTCGGTTAACTCCTTTCAGGAAGGAACCACTTACCTTGTTGCCAAGCAACATGATGACCACATCCTTCTGTGCGTACTCGTAGATTTCAGTCAGCCAGGCCTGCATAGCAATACACATGCAACAAACACACACGCTTTGAAGGACGAGAAACACATCTGCAGTAGAAATGTCTTTTCACAACCCACGCTAACGAAAGCAGGGAAATAAGAACCTCAAATGAACACTTTTTAAAAATGTCTCAAATGTTTGTTTGTCTTACTCTGATGTTGTCGAAGGAGGCCTTTCTGGTGATGTCATACAGCAGCAGTAGAGCTGAAATGGAAAGGACAGTGTGTTCGAGTCACGCTGTGTATGATTCAGAGCTGAGCTTTATTCGTAGTTAAACTCTGACATAAGTCTGCGGAGGATCTGAGACTGTGGAAAACGTTCAGTGCCACAGTGACATCTGTACAGAGAAAGATTGATAGTAACATAGTTCAGACCAGTGGAGGACCAATATGAGCTTTTCATTGATCGAAGAAATACCAATAACTAGAGAGCAGAGCTAATGATGACTGATATAATGCCTGCCAATGTACACTCACCGGCCACTTTATTAGGTACAACCGTTCAACTGCACGTTAATGCAAATAAATAATAAGCCAATCACGTGGCAGTAAGTCAATGCATTTAGACATGGTTCAAAGTTCAAACTGAGCATCAGAACGGGGAAGAAAGGTGATTTAAATGACTTTGTGTCATGGTTGTTGGTGACAGACTGAGTATTTCAGAAAGCTGATCTACTGGGACTTTCACACACATCCGTACAGAGATTGATCCGAAAAAGAGAAAATCTCAAGAGAGCGGCAGTTCTGTGGATGAAATGCCTTGTTGATGCCAGAGGTCAGATGAGGATGGCCAGACTGGTTCAGCTGATGGAAAGGCAACGGTAACTCAAATTACAAGTCGTTACAATGGAGGTCAGCAGAAGAGCATCTCTGAACACACAGCACACTGAACCTTGAAGCAGAAGAGCTACGGCAGCCGAAGACACAGCTAAAAACAGCAAACTGAGGATACGATTCACAATAGCTCACCAAAACTGGACAGTTGAAGACTGGGAAAACGTTGCCTGGTCTGATGAGTCTCGATTTCTGCTGCGACATTCAGTTGCTCGGGTCATAATTTGGCATGAAAGCATGGATCCATCCCGCCTTGAATCAGCGGTTCAGGCTGCTGGTGCTGTAATGGTGTGTTGGATATTTTCTTGCCACACTTTGGGCCTCTTAGGCCCCGTCCACACTACTGCGTTTTCGTTTAAAAACGGAGACCTTTTGCTACGTTTGCACCTCCCGTCCACACTAAAACGGCAAAAACGGAGACCCAAAACGGAGAAGTTTAGAAACGCTGCCGATCCGTTTTTCGTTTTGAATCTCCGGAGGGCGTTTTAGTGTAGACGGGTCAAGACGGAGGACTTTAGAAACGATGACGTAGTAGAGGCTCACGCTCGGCTCTATGATTGGGTGTCATCAGTCATGGCGTATATCTTTGCTAGCAGCTGTTGTACAAGTAAATTCTGCATTTTACAGCGCTATAACTGCCTACATGCGCCGGAGTCAAGCTATTATTCGAGCGATCTGTGACAATTCCCGTGTGCAGCGGCGGCGTTGACCGTACATGGAGCGTCGGTTTGGGATTAACCCAGAGCATGGTGGGATAATTTTATCAATGAAGTTGTGTTTACACCGGCACGCGCATGCCCAGTGTTGGTGAATGGTCACGTGATCCGCGTTTTCAGTCGTTTTAATGTGGACGGAGATCAATTCTAATACGCAGCTAAAACGCTGGTGTGGACGGAGATCATATTCGTTTTAATTCTCCGTTTCTAAACTAAAACGCAGTAGTGTGGATGGGGCCTTAGTACCAATAGATCCACAGTCTACCTGTGTATCGCTGCTGACCGTGTCCATCACTTTATGATCACAGTGTATCGTCTTCTGATGGATACTTCCAGCAGGATAACACACGTCACAAAGCTCAAATCATCTCAGACTGGTTTCTCGAACACGACAGTGAGTTCATTAAACTCAAACGGCCTTCAGTCACCAGATCTCAATCCAAGAGCAGCTTTGGGATGCGGAGGAATGGGAGATTTGCATCATGAATGCGCAGCCGACAAATCTGCAGCAACTGCGTGATGCTTTCATGAAAACATGGACCAAAATCTCGGAGGAATGTTTCCAGCAGCCACGAAGAATTAAGGCAATTCGGAAGGCAAAAGGGGGTCCGACCCGGCACTAGCGAGGTCTACCCAATAAAGTCTCCAATGAGTGCAAATACATATTTAATAACAGAAAAATGAAAACAAAATTGCTCAAACGCAATGAACATGCATTTTTGGCGATATTTAGTGAATAAAATAATTTTACTAAACATTGGTATTAAACATTAAATTATATCGTTGTTACCACTATTTTATAAAAGCATTAAGTCACTCAAGGCTGAATATTTGATTGGTAAAATCAGTTTACTCCTCTTTGTGGTGCACCTAAGAATAGCTATTTTTAATGACACACACACGCTGAAAAACAATAAACATTTATTTTAAGCAATATTTATTCAATACACTTAAAGTAAAGCAACAAAAAAAAAAGCAAACCCGCAAAGTAAAACAAAACATTACCATAAATACCATTAATATCCTTATTGAATTACTAAGCATTGTATTATATTGTTACCGCTTAAAAAAAAAAGATTGTCACTTCAGGCTGAACATCACAGTGATTTGACCAGTTTACTCCGCAAGAGCCGCCGTGACTCATGGTAAGATCATGGTAATGCACGGCCTCTCGTGCCGTACAGCTTTAATAAGACACGGCACCAATAATGAGGTCTATCAGACGGCGACGTGTCAGTGAAGGCGTGATATTTACCCTGAGCGTCTCTGTAGTACGCGTGAGTAACGCTGCGGAACCGCTCCTGACCGGCCGTGTCCCAAATCTGCAGGAGAGGAGCGTTAACAGGTGAGGCTTCATTTACACGTCAGACACACATCAACATGAATCACACCCCAGTCAGCAACAGTGTCAGCCCAGATCCGGCCCACATCTGGTACATGTGTATTCAACCCGTGCCAGATGTGGGCCGACACTATATTGCTGACTGGGATCTTAAATGTGGCAAAGAGGGAATCCTGAAATGCATTTAGAATATTTTGATTTGTGGTTTTGTGTCCTGATGTAATAAACCTTATCTTTGAACCAGCAGGAGGCCAACCAAATTCAGTTTTCTGAAATAAATGTGAGCGGTGCTTGCCCGTGCAAAACACACACCTCCACGAGATGCTAGAGCAGCGATGAGATTTTAGTAATCCGTTTTTTATCTGCCAGCAGACGTCTGTTCAAGTCACATGATTTGAAACGCCATTCAAGACGAGTTCAAAACATTACTGACGCTTGTGTCAGCAAACTAACCAGAGGTATAAATGTGTAAATAGATGATGAACTTGTGTTTGCTCACCTGGAGTTTGACCTTCATGTTATCCACAGTCACCACCTTATTCTACAGGCAACAGGAAGAAGAAACACCCATTAAAACCACAAAATAATGAACAGTGAATACTTTGTTATTCAAGGAAATCGCACACACAAACATAGGAAAACAATTTAGCTACACTAAAGTGAGATCTCTAGCTGTGCTATTTTGCTTTTGTGTGGCCAGTCTCTCCACACACACTTAATTATATAGCCAAAATGAAATAACAGACCAGCTCCCTGCTTAATTTCCTGTTGACGTCAGCCGTTACTTCCTTTGTGAGCAAAACGTTTTAAAAATCGCACCTTCTGCACTGAGAGGACCAGACTTATCTGATGTTTTCATGCACCAAATGGCAGTGCAATCAGAGACGTCAGTCACACAAATGGAAGTGAGATTTGCAGAGATGAATAATTATCATCCGCAGACATTCACATACATCTACACAGGAAACCATTTAGGCCCGACCAATCATTCAGTGCAGTTAATGCTGACGGATCAAAAAGCGTAGGTGTTTAAATCTGAAGAGAGTCATTTGTTCGCTACTTTCCCTTTTCTTGGCAGACGCGACTGAAAGCATGTGGATTTGTAGGTGCCACCAGTTGCATAGAAATTACACAACATGTCTGACTTAACGTTACCGTACATCATCCTTTAATTTCCATTATCAAACAGTTGTAACCCTCAGACCAAACTGATGAAATGCCGGAGAGTTCCTCATCTACGGGACGCTACAGCCTGTGCTTTGTTGATTTAGATTGTCGCTTTCTTGAGGCTCAGAAATGTATAAAGAATAGGTCATATTCTGTCATCATGTTTCAAACATGTACGACTTCCATGGAACACAAAAGGAGACATTTTGAAGACTGTTCAGGCTGCTCATTTACATACACGGCTGAAAGGTAAAGGGGATGTGGTCAGATCCCTAAAGATTACAAAAAAAGCACAGTAAAAAGAGGTACATATGACTTGTGTCTTGGCAGTTCATATGATAACTTCGAGTGCAGTGTTGATATAGTTAACGGAAAGTAAAACTATAAATAAAACTTTGTTTTTGGTTATTGAAATAAAATAAAAATATACATTTTAAATGAAAAACAAACTTCACCCTTAAAAGGCATACCTCGGGTCTTTATCGACCTGGGACGTCATTCACTACCATCCTCCTCATTCATTTTTTAAAGTTAGACATCAACCTTCGTATATTCCTCATACTATTCATTATAAACAATAGAACAAGAAAAATTAAAGAATGCCCGTTTTCCCATTCTTTTTTTTTTTGTTGTAGTAAAAAGTGTATTGGGTCGCTAACAACTTGAGTATATTTTTTCTGCACAACAATAATTTAATCTTTGATGACTGAATAAGTGCAATTCACATTTATTCCACAAATGTCTGATACACAATGATGAAGTGACGTTTCACTCATAGTTACAGCAGGCAGAAAACAAAAGAATAGGAAATTTACTGCTGAGCAAGTGCTGAACACTATCAAATATTAGTGTCACGGTCACCTGATGGTGGATCTGATGAAGAAGCTGTCAGCGATCAAAATATTGATTTTGAAGATGTTGAAAATTATAGTTTTGAGAATATGTTTCAGGTGGCGAATATGAGCCAGATGTTGAATGTACTGAAATGAGCTCTGACGAGGACAGGGATGATGGTGTAAAACATCTGCTCAAACTGAACCCTTTCAAGCTTATAAAGGTAACAAAATATGCTTTATTTTATTCTTTTTCTAATTGTTACTCTAATATCAGGAGAGTTTTATATTATCGCGACAGGTAGAGATCTATCCGTGTTAGATATAGATCCAGGTCTCAAAAGACCAGAATATATACTATAATAGTGATTTTTCGAAACATTCATGCATTTAAGGGTTAAACGAACAGTTAAAATTTGTCTCGGCAACTAAAAATAATAATGTTAACTTAAAGTACTAAAATTTAGTTGTGTTCAATTCCCCAACACTGGTTATTACACAATTGTTTTTTCTCGACATGAAGCCTTAAATTCCTCTTATTTAAACAAATTAGTGATGACATTACCTTGAAATAATGAGTAGCTATCAACGTCGTTACCTAGCGGTTCACAACGTAATAGAAACTACAGTAAATGACAGAAACTATCTTTAGAAAAAAGATATGTGAAGTGTAATTTAATTATTTAGTTGGTCTCACGTCCTGTTGAATAACATGGGGAGGCGGGGTTTATGACCTATACTAGGACCGGTCACCGGGGGGCGATCAAGACGTTTTGGCTTCACTTTTGAAGGCGTGTGCTGCACGCTTGGTCGTGACAGATCGCTGTAGAACATCAGTTAAAGCTGCTCGTGATCCGATCATCTCTTCCTTCTAGTTCATTTATAGCATAAAATAAACATGAATGAACATAAGGAATGTTGTTTTAACCGCGGAAAGGCATCAGTACACTCCGTTTTTCAAGTTCAAATCCTCCCATGTTAATCTACTAACTCTCCTGACTGCTTTGTCGGACAAAATGGCGGAGGGCGAAGTATGATTGGTCAGATCACCTGTCAATCAAGCTCCTTGCGAAGGGTCAATTAAACTACAAAGCTGGCACAGAGGTATGTATAATTACAAACTTAAGTTACTAAAGTGGAAAAGATAATTTTCACATTCTGCTAAATTTCTCCTTTTGTGATTCACAGAGGTCGAGGAAGAAAAAAAGGCAGGTTTGGAGCAACAGGCCGAGTAAATGACGACGTAACAATGATCGACCAACAATCACATGCGTATGCTTCGGCTGCTTAAAGCACCTTCCAGGAAGTTCTGCATAAAAAAAAAAAAAGAAATTAGAGCACAGCATAACGCCATTTGAGAAGAACATGAACCGGTTGAATAAGAGCGCAGGTATGTCTCTATTGTTCCTTCAGGCGCTCATGCATATCTGACGGGAATGAAAACACAATTCCTTTTCTTTGACAGAACGGCGTTCAGCAGAGCTCAGATGTCTCATTCTTTCTCTAAGGGCAAATCCATCACAGGCTGCAGAACAAGATAAATTGAAAATCCAGTGACAAAATTGGTAGTGATGATTATGCTCGGGAATTGAGAGATGCTTTTTCAGAACGGTTTCAGTTTTCATGCATTCTGGAACTTGTTTGTATTGAAGAATGAATTCAATCAAGATATGCGTGTGTATGTGTGTAGGCCTATGACTAAAAGTCTTCATTTATTCATTCTTATGATGTTCCAACAAACCCGTAGGACATTATTTGTTCCACAAAATGTAAAGGTAGAAGTAAAGTCCCTTCAAGGCAAGTCATTTCACTCTGCGGTCATCTTTAGCCAGCTAATTCAAGCAAAGCTCCCATCTCTTTGAATCAGGAAACATCAAACTCTTCAAAGCTGCTCACCAAGCTTATACGATTAAATTTCATCTATGAAATCACCAATGAAATCTGACAGCAGCTGTCTCATAAACATATGCTCAAACAGTGTTAAAAAGTCTCGAATCTGATTGGCTGAGAGCCTTTTCCAGCCAGTGTGTCACCATGGGAACCGCTTCGCTGTTTGTATCACTCCGCTTGCAGCATTTCTTACAGCGAGTGTCATGGTGGACACCATCATTTTACAAGTTCACAAGTTGTTGTGTCCCGGAATGTAGTTTGAAGAGTTTTCTAGGCTAGAATGTAGTAATTTAGACATGGACGAGCCAATGCGCATGTAGCTGGCGCCTCAGAGCACAGTTTCTTTAGCAGCCGGAGCTTCTAACGGCACAGCGACTTTACCAACTGGTGATTGGCTCTTTAATTTATAAGGCGGGACTTATTCCAACATATTACGGGTTGCACTTTCTCCCATTTATAAGTAAATATGAGTGCGCCATCTTTGTAAAGTCCAATATTTTCAGTGAATAATTAAAGTTTTAGTCTGTTCCTCAAACAAAGGTATGACTTTGTAAGAGTCATTTGGAAAATTGTGCTTCTTTTACAGTGGGGTTTGAGAAAAGACAGGTTTAGAACGACACGAGGGTGAGAAAATGACAGAAAGTCAGTCAGGAACAAATATCGACGGGCACTTTTTCGAAAGTGCTTAAAGAATCAATGAAAATGTTAAAATGTGGAACAAACCCAGAGTCATTCAATTCTTTACCGTTTCCATATAGTGATGATGATATATGACCATAGGGTTTTCATTAGACAGTTGCTCTAGGAAACCTGCTTGATCTATCCAAGCCATAACCTATTATTTGAGAAATGGACAAATAAATGGTATCAGTTTCAAGGACCTTTTGACACTGGAAAGGATATCGATTTATGAAAAACACATCTTTCATGGCCTCAGCCTACCCAGCATAAATCAACCATAGGCATCAATTTGTTGTAATGGCTTTCCATTTCTCTGGCATCAGACTTGCTCCGCTCTGGCTCCCACACATCCTCATGCTGAGCAAGTGCTACAAGGAAGAGCCCAAAATAGACACAGGCTATAGTGCTGCCGCTGTGCCATTCAAAAAAAAATACCAGCACTGAAACGCCTCACTGTTTCCCTGAGCCACGGCAGATAAAATGCTTCATTTCCGACTAAGTTTAGACGTTGTTGGCAGGCAATCAAAAGAATGAGGCTTTTTGAACTTCCTAAAAGACACCTTCTCTCCCAAAGCATGGCACTTTCTCCTCGATTCTGACGTTACAATCTGTTCCACGCCACATGCGAAACCTTGACCATTTCAAGGTCTTAAACCAACCTTCACTTCCCTGCAAAAACACACACTGTGAAACCAAACTGACTGTCTTGGCTTGAGGGCAAATATCTATTTGTGGAGCATGACAAACTTTATTTTCCTCCAATAAAACACCTGCCATTGACGGCAACTGACAGAACAGCCTCTGCAATAACAACTGTTGATGCGTTTACCATGATGACTCAAAGAAACACAGAAAGCCACTCAAACTCTTTCTCTATACAAAATATATAAATGACTCATCTTGCACTAAGGGGCGTACACATTATTTTTTGGCCAATCAGATGCACTCTACAATGGGAATGTTCCTAACAATGACAACTAGCAAATTATGGTTGCTGGCAGTGATGTAAACAAATTCCAACTGGCTATTATTATTATTATTTTTTAATGGGATGGGCTCTTTAAAATGTCTCAGTCCAGCTTCCTGCTAATACATATCCTATTAAAAGTGCCAAACTATTTCATGGGGTCTTTAAAGTCGTGATCAAAGAGAAGTATAGCAACAGATCTTTTCCTCTGAATTTTGACGTACATCCGAGTGTAACTTGGTTCTATGCATCGATTGTGATTAGATAATTTTTTTTAAATAGCGCATTGCTCACAAAAATGAATGCAAGCTTGTAGTCAATGGTTAAAGTCCCACTGAAGTGCCTTGGAACGAGCAGCTTTGTATGATGCGTTGATGTCATTTCCACTGAAACAGGAAGCTAAGGCGGGACATATTGAATGGCTCCTCCCCTTTTTCAAATAGCCATTAGCGGTTAGTTTACCTCACAGACGGCAAGTCGTACTTGACGGCACCATGTAAGTGAATCCGAGCGCTGATGATACGTTGGATTCGTGTGAATAAATTCTAGCCATTTAATTTTTAACCAACGTACAGCTGGAAAACGGAATAAAACTCGAGCGTTTGGGCAAACCAACACACATCTCCAACCCATATTGGTCTGTGACGTGTCAACGGACGCTTTGGCCAAGTGGTGTTTATAGTATAGGGGCGGAGCTTTAGATTCTAGAGAGCATTTGATTGGACAGAAGATGTGATGAGAAGCTGATGTCATAAAAATCCGTGATCCATTTAAGTTTTGAATGCTTATATCTCCTAAATGCGAATTTTGTCATTGTTTTGGAACACGCCAGCTTATTCATAACCTCAAGGCTAACAATCATAATAAAATCCAAAAAAAGAAGTACATTTTGATTTCACGCGGCCTTTAAGAAAGGGGCGGGGTTTAAACGGATTACATGATGGGAGAAGTCCTGTATACGTCACCAGAGAGAAGTCTGACATTTAAAAAAAAACAGGTCAAAAACACATATAAAATAAACATATGCCTGGATGAGTAGATTTGGAATGAATTGAATAGATTACATTTCATGCCACCTTTAAAAACACCCCAAGTAAACCAAAAAACAGCTCGTTTCCTCCCCAACAAGGGCTGGCAGGTGCAGTTCAAGGCCCAAAATGTCACGGGGCAACTGGTTAATCATTTAGCCAGACTGAAACGTGAACGAGCATCAGATTGGCCTGTTAGATCCGAACACTCCCAAGACGTCTGGAGTGGTGCAGAGACTTCACAGAGAGGCTGGTGGACCAATAACACTTCAGAAGACCACAGAGATTTGCACAGTTAAACGCCAATGGACAGTGAATATACACACACACACACACACACACACACGGCCTCTGTATGATGGAGTGTCTGAACAGCTTTTTGATTAGATGCTGACACTAAGTGTTAAACGGATAATTTTCAAGCAATATATTTTAATAATCTTTGCCTCTGAGGTCTACTTAGATTTTGAGGAGTATTTTCCTCCCTCTCACTGACCCTGAAGATTATAAGAGACATTTTTGGGAACACAGAAGAAGATATATTTGAAGAATGTTGGTAACCAAACAGTTTTGGTGCCCATTGACTTCCATTGAATGGACAAAAACAAAGACTTTTCTCAAAATATAAGTTCCATAGATAAATAAATCATACAGGTTTGGAATGACGACATAGTGAATAAAGGACCGAATTAAAAATTTTGGGTGAAGTATTTAACCCTCTGGTGCTATTCGGTCATTCTTGACTGAAAAGTGGAAACGTTTGGTACTGAGCCCAAACAAAATCTGAATGAAAACTCATTTTATAATATTAGCTAATATCAAGCTCAAATTTGGAACACAACTGGTTTAGATTTATGGCTTTGATCTTCAGGCAGTTTTAATGTAAAACGTGTTTTGGAAAATATATATTTCATGTAAAAATGGAAAATAGTATTTTTGTGAATCTTCATAACAATAAACAAAAATCTATAACTTTTTTTAAGTTAGTTTTTAAGGTTTGCTTTCAGGTCTGAAATATACTTGGACGTTCATCTAACCTTTTTTTTTTTTTTAAACGTTCCTACTCGTTTCCGAACATTTAGAGAAAATTCAAAAAGCAATGTTCCAATAATATTTGCAAATTGATCAAATGCAATGTTCCCTTAATCCTCTTTAATGTTGCACAACCAAGAAAACCATTTTGAAAACATTAAAATAACTGGTCTTTTTGAACGTTCGAGAAATAGCGTTTTCATAACTTCCACAACACAACAATAACGATAAAAACACAGAACTATTGTTTTCCAGCGGATGAACGATAAAAACATTGACAGCCAATCAGAATCCATCCTGCTTTAAAGAGCTCGAGCATTTAAATTCCTCTCTCATCACTTGCTGAACACCGAATAACACCTAAGTGTCCTTTAGTTTAGCCTACCTGAAAATGTGGGCGATCGTTGTGAACATCAGATCAGGAATACTACGATTTTAAGAACGCGTCGTTTTTTCAGCTTCGTTTCAATAAATATTATTTTTGGACTAGAGAAAAGCTTTGAGCTCCGACACTTACAAAATACATCAAACACACTTATCTAAGGTATAAAAAAAAAAATTATATGACCCTTTTAAACAATATGAAAATGTTAGAAAAGAGAAGCAAACCAGCTCCTTCCACTGCTGGCTCACCCTAAAGTCTATCCCCACTGTTGCAATGAAGTTGCCTCCCAGAAAGGCCCCATCTTTAAAGCGCACCAGGACGCAGGTCTTCCCCACTGCCGAGTCTCCCAGCAGCATCACCTAAAGGCATCAGGGTCAGAGACAGCTGTTAGGCCTGCAACCCTGCGATTACACACATCCCGCTTTGGTGTAATGAGCTCCCAACTGTTCACCAACATCATGTTAAAGTCAGCATGAAATGACGTTCACTACCCACTTCACTTCCATCAAATTATACATTTCTAAGCGGAACCAGGCAAAAATGTAAGGTAGAAATCGGTATTAGTCCATCAAGATTTTGAAAAGTGTCTCTACTTAAGATGTTTTTGAAGAGAGCTTGGCGGGGCCCAATAAGTGAGAATAACTGCGTTTACATGGACACTTTTTGAATTGAATTCAAATGAAATCATTCTGATTGATGAATCCGAATGTAGCGTTTACATGAACGCTAAATAAAGTGATCGGGTTGATGTGCGCGTTTATATCCCCATGTTCACACCACTGTCAGTCCAAATCCAATTATTTGTGTAGGCCTATCCGATCTAAAATGATTGATGTCCACATTGTGTATCGCAAATGCGACGAGTGTCCAATATGCCGCTCTTTCGTTTTCCAAAATATCTGCATTGGTTACTATGGCAATGACATTGGATTGGTGGGTAAACGGCAAAAAAAACAGCAGCAACTGCAACACGGAGGCGGATTGCAATACAGATGTTGTATTATTCACAACATGACAGTGTGTAGCCGGCTGATATGAGAGGCTTTATTCGTCTCCGTCGGTTTACAAATATCAGCGCACCGGTCCATTCAAACGCTCCCGCACGTTGATCATTGTTGCCAATCACAGACATATCCGATAAGCGCATGAACACAATGGCCAATCAGAGGCGTTTACGAATCCGCTCAACAGCGCTCAAAGCATCATAATAAAAAAAAATAAAATAAAAAAATTGACAACTCTAGTCTCCGTTATATTGTAATTTTCTGCTCGTTCGGCACTTTGCAACAACACAACCTTGTTTCTGCAGCGACTTTCAGCATGTTTCCTGTAACAACGTCTGACGTTCACATTTTACACGGCGTGAGCAAGTCACATAAACCATGCGAAATCCGATCAGAGCGGTCAGACTGAAGATAGGATTTCAAACCACATAAGGATTTGTATTTCATGAGATTTTTTTTTTGCTGTTCACACTAGCTAAATCTGACTGGATTTCAATCGGATATTCACAAAAATCGGATTTGGACTGACAGTCTGAACTGGTCACAACCCAGATAGCAAATGACATCTGGCCCAGTTGTGGCCCACATCTCTCTCATTCTTCTGGCCCACATCCCGCATAGAACGACGGCGATAACTCAACAAGTGTGGCTGGCAATACGATACATATTCGGGCCTCATCTGGGCCGACTATGGCACAGTTCTGGCAGCGGAAAAAGTCATATCTGGACCACACACAGCAAGCCACAATTCAAGTTAAAACCGGCTTGACGTGCGTGGGTTTTTCTGCTGCCAGAACTGAGCCATATGTGCCATAGTTGGCCCAGATGATGTCCGGATATGCATCTCAGACAGCAAAATAGTGCCGGCCCACATCTGGTATATGTGGATTCAATGCATACCAGATATGGGCCGAAACTGTATTCGTGCATGTCAAAAAAATATTTTTTTATTTGAAGCTTCCCAAATAGCATCTCAGACAGCAACATAGTGTCGGCCCACATCTGGTACATGTGGATTCAATGCGTACCAGATGTGGGCCGGATCTGGGCCGACACTATGTTGCTGTCTGGGATGCTATTTGGGAAGCTTCAAATAATAATTGATTTTTGGACATGCATGAATACGGTTTCCCGCTGTTTGCGCATGCTAACTATTCTCCTACATTGCTTTTTTCCCTTTGTTATAAAGAGCAATATATTTATCTATTTCGGATCCCAATTTGGAGACGACGAGCACATCATTGTGCCGTGCTTTTATCAAGCAGTAAAAACACCCCTTCTCGCGCACAAAACAAGGCGCCTGAGGATGAGAGTCCGAATGGAGGACTGGTGGGACGTTGTCCTGCTGCACTTCACAGAAGATGAGTGGAAGGAGAATTTTAAAATGACACAACAGTCATTTATGACACTTTATTCAACAACAACAGCTCGTTCCACACATCATACGATCAAGTGTTTGCATGTCCTCTCGATCGGATTAGAAAAGGTTCAAAACATCCCTTCAATCCGAATGAAATTTTAAACGGATTTGGCCGATTCATTCCGATTGACATGGTTGCATGCGACTAGTGCGATCACAATCTGATTATTAATAGGGTCCATGTAAAAACAGCTAGTGACAAATCATGCACACTAAACCAGGAACAAGTATTGAAATGGGGTCATTTCTGCCTTTATGTTGACTTTAACACCAACACAGTTGTTTTAAAAGGAGAAAATGCATCGTAACGAACAGGAAACTTAAATTGTGAAATGAGAGTTTACCCAATTGTGTTTTAGTGGTATTGCATAATATTCTTCTCAGAAACTACTAGCCTATTGCTCAACTCCGACATTGAACATTGTTCATCATTTTTTAATCTATGCACTCTTTTTACTACAAAACAGCTCCTCTTATTGGACTAAAATACATAATTGTCAATGTAAAAAAATATTTAAATTTATCACAATTTATTATCTTTTAGATAATGTGATTCGGATAACATAATATTTTGAGTTTCTATTTATTAACCCAATCTCCTTTGGTGTATTAATTAATTTTAATTTCAATTAACTCAATTATAAGGCAAACAGGTAACTTACTTTAAGTTAAACCAACACTTTTTTTTTTTTAAACAGTGAACCATGTTTTATATCATCGCGTCTCTTCGGAGCACATCAATGGGTTTTTAAATGCGTAGAAATGACTCCCTCCTCGGGTCAGTATTTATCCTCCAGTGCGTAAAAGTCAAATATGCACATTACTCAAATACTAGAGAACATGCATGGAAAGACAAATGGGTGATATACTGTATATAGCCTAACTTTTAAAAGGGAGAGAAAACTATTTTATGTCAATACTTTTGCACTTTGGAGCAATAAATATTTTAGTAGGCTACTGCGTTTGGTCCAAAAGTAACCAGTTGAAAGAACCGCCACTATATTGTACCATTTACACTGTGAAGTTGAACTACTGTTTATTCTCCATGTTTGCAGCCATTTAAAGTGAATTCTGATAGTTGCATGGCGGTTAACATGCCTTTGCACTGTTGAATAGCCTACTAAGTAGCTTAATTTCAGCACGCGCGCCACAGGTGCCGACTAACACAGGGCACATGTTTCAGACACAACAATCGTGATGACAGCAACGCATTATACAGATTACAGACAATAAAAAAATAACTCACACCTTGAAGGCAACATCAAAATACTCATTGACCGAGGCGCATCGCTCCAGCATATTTCTCGATGTTCCGTTTTGAAGCACATTCTCCATCAGTGTTGCTTTTTTGATTGACATCGCGGAAACAAATAGCGAGGATGTTTTGCTTTCGATGTTCTTCTCGAGACGCGCCGCGTTGACTATATCACAAATGCATCACATAGTGCATCTAAAACGCGCCCAAACTTCATCGGATGCTGGCGGAGGATGAGGATGGAGATCAATGAGCATGAAGAAACACAAAACATGCATTTATCCCAAAAGCGTCCTCTTCATAATTATTAACGCGCAAAGACGCAAAACACATGAGCGTTATCGCTCAGTTGCGCGCATAATCACGCACAGCAAAGAAGCAGATCGCTCCAAAACACACACATGAGCAACAGGCTCCCTTGGGTCACACTCAAACACACACACACAGGTGCGAGATCACACTGATTGAGAGGAGACCGACCAATGACATCCATTAAGCGACGTGACAAAACTAGACGCGCCCATTGTAAGCTGCCGCGAGCGCGTACGGCTATGTTGATTTAATGCGTTGTGGTTTTAGTCGCGTCGCGTCTGTTGAGGTGCAAACGCCTCCCAATGTGTTTCCTCGTGTGTCATAAACCTATTCTTTCTGCAGGGGGCGCTTAAGGGCCCCGGGAGCCAAACCCTCAATTCAACCCCATTCAAATCTCAGGGGGATTTTTGGCTTTATCAGAGGCATTTGCGCACAATAAATTATAATCATTCAAATCTATTAAGTCCATTCATTGAAAACTGACATACAAATGAAAATCCACCCAAGCGATCTCCAAACCAATATGATAAAAAAGGCCCTCACAAACGACTGTGATTGGTCCATCCCACACAGTGCTGTGAAAAGTACCACGTACCACGTGACAACAGTGTCTTTGCATGGTGCTTCAGAAGATCTGGACATTAATCATTTAAGTCTGAATAATAATACTGAGAACATTTAATAAACTTCCGTGAATTGAAAATAGAAACTCAAGCGTTCAAGTAGCCAATATGAATTGTTGTTTGGAAACATCATACCTGACCAATTAGAGCAAGAGGCACATCACAAGCCCCGCCCACTTCGGAATATCAACGTCCATTCTGCCATTTTATTCTGTTTCTGTGTGTGAGAGACGAAGAGTTTAGCCGAATATTGTGGTTTGTCTCGACGCCTGCGGTCAATGCAGATGAGGTTTGACAGAATGCAGAACATAATATCAAATCTAAGCTGTAGTTTGAATAACTAATATGGTTTACCTGACATATGAACACCTCTTTGCAGTTTCATTCATGTTCAGGGAATTGCCCTGCTGCAGGTGTCTTTATGATAACACGACTAAGTCCATAACATAAATAATTCCAATGGTGTATTTTACAACTTCCACAACATAAACTCCCCGGTTTCATAGACAAGGTTTAAGCCTAGTCCTAGGCTAAAATGCATGTTTGAGCTGTTTTATCTGAAAGCAACTTGCACTGACATAACGTTATAGGCCTATGTCTCAAGATGTACACCAGTATTTTTTTTCTTTCTTTCTATGACACGTTTATAAAAGCTACTTAAATGCCCTAATTGAACTAAGGCCTAATCCTTGCTTAATCTAAGACCTGTTTGTGAAACCAAGCACTTGTGTTACAAATTAATTGAATTTTCGTTGTTTTTTTTAAAGCGTGTGTTTAGTGCGCCCCCTACTGACCAACAAGTGGAGTGACATCCAGTGCCAAACAGCAAAGGCCTAATAAAAACCATTTTATTTAGGTAAAAACACAGCACTTTATTATTGGATGATGTTTAACAGTATGTTTTCCCCCTGTCATGATCCCTTATGATATGCAGGGATATTGTGCTGGAATGGCCGTTTGCCATTAAAAAAAAGAAAAATTCACATATACGCGGTAGCTATAATCAATATCTGATTATAGTAACTCAATGTACTATGTTTTTTTCATCTTTAAGCTCAGTCTTGGCACATTCTGCCCTGAATAGGTAGGATATTTAATCATGTATTTCCAGAGTATACTCTGCTAAAGTTATGCACACATATTAAACACCCTGTTACATACACACACACACAACACTGAGACTTATTACAAAAAATGTGATGAAAAACAACAAACAGTGATGATCCAAGCGAGGCCAGCCAGATCCCTCTGTAATTATAATCAGAGCCCCAGTAAAATGATCATTATCATATTATTGTAATCAGACGCTGTGTGTTGAGAAACCCCGTCGGCTCTCTGCGGGGAGTTATGACAGAAGATAGGAAAGCAAATCCAGCAGGCAAAGCCAACATATTTGTGCCAATCAACATTTTCAGAGATATGGGAAAGATGAGGGAACACACACATGTGTGTTTACTATTAAAAGTCAAATATTTCTGAGTTTAGCATATGATTACTAGGGAAAATCATAATCATAATTCCCCCCCCTTCCATAAAACCCTAAATTTATACTTAATATAGCCTAAATATAAATGCAACAATATAATATTATATATGATTTGAGGAAAGGCACGTTGTGTCCTGCTCCCTTCTTACTTTCCCAGCAGTTTAGTTCACTCAAATCACAGTCAAAGAATGAAATCTAAAAGACAAACTTAATGCTGGATCTTTATCGGCTATATAATTCCATAAAGAACCTTTTAACATCCACGGAATGTTTTTCCATTCCACAAAAGGTTCTTAATTCTTTAGATTATTAGAATGGAAGGTTCACTGAAAGGTTCATTCTTTGGGGAACCCAGTTCTTCGATGGCATTGTGCTGAAAAACAACAACCTGGTAACACTTTACTATAAGGTTCATTAGTTCATGTATTAACTAACATGAACTAACCATGAGCAATACATGTGTTACAGTATTTGTTCATCTTTGTTAACGTAAGTAGTTAACAAACTAATGTAGTTAAGTAATGTTAACTAATGAACCTTATTGTAAAGTGGAACCAAAAACCTTTTTTTTTACGATTGTGCCTAAACTAAATTCCATGAAGTTAAAATACATTTGAAATATGATTTAATGAAAATTATGATTAAAGTATTGTTATATGTATATTTGATTTAAAAAAAATCTTGTTTAAAGCATAAAAAATGCAGTGATGTGACGTTTTAATATTAAATTGAGTAAAAGTGTCTAGTTTTGAGGATGCTTGTTTATTTTGCAGTGTGAAGTGATGTCCCCTGAGCATCTAACGCGAGGTGTGTGTGTGACCTTCTGCTGAGAGACTCACCGTGAAGCCAATGCCCACAGTGGCAGTGAAGGATCCTGGGATGAATTTACCCTGGTCAAACTGCACTAACAGAGACGTCTTCCCCACTCCGCTGTCTCCAACTAGTATAGTCTGCAACAGACGGACATGAACAGATGGATGGTCATGATGGAGATAAAGGTATTGTGACGTGTGTGGTTATCAAACGTTCGTGGATCATAGTTAACTCTTTCCCTGCCAGCGTTTTTCATCATTTTGCCAAGTTTTCATGTTGTATGAATATCTGAACATGCAATATATAAAAGAAAGAACAGCCTCTGCTTTTAAACAGCAAAACACGTTTTATTCAAGCTTCATGCATTAATTTATAATCAACACTTGAATGTGGCTAAGTTTCATAAAAAAAAAAAGCAGAAGAAGAATGATGATTAAAACACAGATGGAGTAGGTCGAGTCCATCAACACCCCTAAAGCTCGTCCTGGGTCGACATTTCATTCGGTAACATTAGGCAGTTTTGATTTACTTGCTGTTTAATGTTAATGTTCGGGTTATTTTACATATGCGTCTAATTACATATGCTATCGCTCGTTTCTGCTTCTTCTTCGCCTGTGTTTTGATCGGGAGATTCAGTACTCTTTCAGAAGATGTGCAATAGCGCCCCCTACAGTATAAAGGCCCTTGCACACTGAGTCCCAAATTCGCGTTTGAAGTTTTCGCAGGTAAAAAAATGAATACGACCTCACGTTATGTCAATCACGCTTGCACACTGCCTCCGAAACGTTCGTCCGGCATAAAAAAAATCGGATCGGGTTCGATTTTCTGCATTTTTCGCATCCGTAGCGAGCAGTTTGAATGGTGTTTGAGAGCCACCGAATCACGAATACGAAAAAAACGAAAATTTCGGACTCAGGGCCCTATTTTAACGATCTGAAACGCAAGTGTCAAAGCGCAAGTAACTTTGTGGGCGGATCCCGGCGCTGTTGCTATTTTCCCGGCGGGATAAATGCCTCTTGCGCTTGGCGCAAATCTAAAAGGGGTTGGCCGGAAGTAGCTTCATTATTCATAGGTGTGGTTTAGGCGTAACGTGGAATAAACCAATCAGAGCGTCATCTCACATTCCCTTTAAGAGCAGGCGCGCTTGTTCTAAAGCGGATTCCTATTATAACGGCGGATTTGCCAGGCGCGCGCCAGGAGCGATTCACAGCCGAGGAGAGCAACGTTCTCGTCAGGGCCGTAAAACACAGAGAAGTGACATTGGGGATGGAGAAACCCACACAAATTAACTTCTGTTAAACAGGCGTATGATAATTTGGGTAAATGTGTAAGCTACATGTATGCTTTTATAATAAATTGTCTATCTATCTATCTATCTATCTATCTATCTATCTATCTATCTATCTATCTATCTATCTATCTATCTATCTATCTATCTATCTATCTATCTATCGTAATAATGTATGATTTGCAAAAATGAAAACTGCTGCTTAGATGAGAGAATCAAAGTGTATGCGCGTTGTGCACACGCTACATTGATTATGGCCAAGCATGCGCCCTTAAAATAGCATAATGAACAACGCGCAACGCGCCACTGACTTGTTTTTTTCTGGTCAGTGGCGCAATTGTTTTATAGAACAGCAAAATAGCATGAGGGAAAGTTTGCGCCGGAACACGCCTCCTCTTTGCGCTGAACCGCCCCGGGGAGCGCAAGTGTATTTCTTAGTTAACCGACGTGTGTCTGTGGAGGGAAAAGTCCGCTTTGCGCGGGTGCAAAATATGAATGATACATGCGTCAGTGTACAAAGTCATTTGCGTTGGGTGCAAGATAGGGCCCTCAGTGTGCAAGGGCCTTAAAGGGGTCATATAATGCCATTTTTGTACAAGCTAATATGATTCTTTAGGGTCTAAATTAAAAGTTTGTAATATACTTTAATTAAAAATTCTCATTAGTATTGTAAGAAAACAGTTATTTTACCTGGTCAAAAACAGCTCTGTTTTCAGCACGCCGTTTCAGTGTATGACTTTAAATGATCATGAGCTTTGCTCACCCCGCCCCTCTGTTCTGTGCGTACACCGTTTGTAGCACAATAACACAATAACCATAACGCTTGTTCAGTATAAACGTGGAATTATGAATTATATTGAGAACGTCATACATAGAAAACATGCCGTAATGTACCCTGAGTGTAAACCTTAGAAGCATTCATTGTGAAGCGTGCAGCTAGCGATTTGCAAAGATTAATATATTAATATAAAGTTTAATAAAACGTTTCACTCACTTCCGTTCTTCTG